AAGAATTTTAAAATGAACTGATAACATTGGAGACCGAAAGAGAAGCCTTAAAGAAAAAGAGTTAATGATGGGAGAAAAGAGAGCCTGTCTGCACGTTAAATACCAGTCATCTTTTCGGGTGCATGCTCTGCAGAATCTTCACTAAACAACAGCATTCATGATGCAAAGAGCACTGAACTTGGAGGCTGGACATCATCAGTGGTTTAGGGTTTCAAGGTCTTGCTCTGCCCGTAACTATCGCACCTTAGCCAGCTCGCTAGTTTTGCTGGGCATCCATGTCCTCACCTGTAAAGTAATTAAGAGTAGGGCGAAGACTCTTGCAACTCAAAAATCCTGTGATGTGATTTATGTGACTAAGCTCTCCTCATGTGAATAAAGAACCGAGCTTTCCTGTGGGGAAGGATGGCTTGCCCTCACCTACTTCCGGTTTGCTTGCCTACTTCTGGCACACACTCCCCCTCCTCCATGGTAACCCGTAGATACTGACGTCTGGACAGTCAGCCCTGCTCCCTCATCTACAAAATGTTATCTAGTATATCTTCACTAAGTTGGCTTCCTCCCACCCTCCACTTTCCCCAGCTTTCTTCGTAGTATATAAATATTTCAGAAACTCTCTTCTTTGAGAAAAACTTGAAAGATAAAAACCCCACAGGGATGGAAGGGGAGCTCATAGACTAAGGCTTGGAAGAGATCTCAGCCGATAACAGTGTGTTAACCTGATTTGGATTCAAAGAGCAGATTTAAACAAAACTTAAAAAGACATTTATGAGACAAATGGAAGTCAGAGCATTTAGTAGATATTGGATCTTAAGAAATGATCATTAATTGTTTTAGGTGTCATAACAGTATTATAGTTATGTTTTTTAAATTAATTAATTTAATTTTATTTATTTTTGGCAGCATTGGGTCTTCGTTGCTGCACACGGGCTTTCTCTAGTTGCAGGAGGTGGGGCTACTCTTTGTTGCGGTGCGCAGCCTTCTCATCGCGGTGGCTTCTCTTGTTGTGGAGCACGGGCTCTAGGTGCATGGGCTTCAGCAGTTGTGGCACATGGGCTCAGTAATTGTGGCTCATGGGCTAGAGCACAGGCTCAGTTGTTGTGGCACACGGGCTTAGTTGCGCCGCAGCATGTGGGATCTTCCGGGACCAGGGCTCGAACCCGTGTCCCCTGCATTGGTAGGCGGATTCTTAACCACTGTGCCACCAGGAAGTCCTACAGTTATGTTTTTAAAAGAGTCCTTATCTTTTAGAGACATATTGATATATTTGCAGATAAAATATGATGCTGGAGGGGCAGTTAGTGAGTGGGTGACACAGATGAAACAAGTTTTGCCATGAATTGACAATTATAGAAATTGAATGATGGGTACATGGGAGTTGATTATAGGATTTGGTCTACTTTTATATAAGTTTTATAGTTTCCATAATAAAAAATGCAAAAAAAAAAGCTTAAAACAGATAATCAGCAAGGACCTACTGTATAGCACAGGAAACTCTACTCAGTATTCTATAATAAACTATATGGAAAAAGAATCTGAAAAAGAAGAGGTATATGTATATGTATAACTGAATCACTTTGCCATACACCTGAAACTAACACAACACTGTGAATTGACTATACTCCAATATAAAATAAAAATTTAAAAAAAAGCTTAATGGGATTCATTCTAAGGAGACATATTTGCTGAGGTGTTGGAAAGGGCTGCCTGTCATAGTTGCATAATCATTGGGGGTAAATATGGAAGTTCATCAATCAGAAAGCCTATAGTGAGGAGCTGGCTGGCACCGGGCCCAGCTCTGTGTGGCTGTCATCTAGCCTCTATGCCAATTTGCCCTCTATAAATAACAGTCTGTATGAATGCTTTACTATTTAAGGCACACTTGCCACAGCTGCTCGGCATGTTTGTTTACGTAGCTATGAACCCTTCTGTAAACATCACTATCTCCAAATTGCCCCTGTGTCAGGAACATAAAGGGCCCCCTTTAAAAATATATTTATGGGATGAGACACGGCCAGTTCCCAGATGTCTGGGTGGCTGGTGTCAGAATTTTCCAGGGTTTGATTCATTTTCAAAAATAGAACCACATGACTGGAAGGTTCTTGAGAGGTGACACATCCCCCTGACTTGGGGCAGGACCAGACCGAAACCATCCACCAAGAACGTGGGTCTGTCTTTTGTGGGTGTGAGTCTGTCTTTTATGAGGCCAGAGAACTCACTGAATGAAGGACTGGGGTCAGGACCTGCAGAACATCAAAGGTGGGCAAGACTCACCTCCCGCCTTCAAAGAGCTTACTCCCATTTTCTAAAGACGAGCCTGACCCTGAGTGATGTGACAAAGCAGGCTTGGGACAGCAAAACTGGGGTGGGCATATTATGTGTCAACCAGCTGGCCTGTGATGGGCCTGGGCACCCAGTGGACTAAAGGACCTGCCGGGTCAGCCTACTGCGTGGTAGCTCGGATCCCCAGAAAATACCACGTCGGGGTCGCTGTGTGCCCACAACGTGCAAGACAGAAAGAGGGAGGGCATCGCATGGAGGTTGCAGTGGTGGCGATGGTGAGGCTCGTCCTTGAAAGAGGCATCCTAACTGAGGTCACTGAGAGTAGTTTCAGGTCAACTAAGACATATTTGAAAGAAAGCATGAGTCAAGCAGAGGCCCCTTTGTGTCAGCTTGCAGTTTTCATGGCTCCTGATTTCCCATCTAGCCTTCCAATGAATAATTAGATCCTTGTGAATCTGTTTTCCTCAGGGTGCATTTGGTCCACATCTATTTTTTTCCTGTGGCTTTGATTCATCGAAACATTCCCCCCACCCCAAGGGCCTACTTAATACCCATAAATCCCAACTGTGCTTTTCATTCACAAAGAAAAAAAGTGTGCCTCGTTAAATTATGAGATGAGATGTGCTGGAAAGACTGAACTGTACGAATCCTATCAGGAAAGGATCAAGACGTGTCCAGCTTCCAGACAAACCCAGAACTTTCTAGAACACTCTTTCCTCCACTTTCCAAAAATTAGAAAATTATTATTATTACTTTTAGAAAGTTAATAGTGGTTGCCTTTGATTCTTTTTTGCTGGCAAGTACCCAGTTTTCTCTATGAAAGCAGTAGAAAGGCCACCGAATGCTCAGAGGTATCCCTATTAACAACCAACAAAAGGATGTTCCCCTATTTGGAAAGGCTCAGTCATTACAAGCTATCTTCAGAAAGACAGGGTCTGCCCCAGGGAGAATTCCGACTCAGAGACATCACAAAGGTAAGTTGCTTATTCCGGACTGACTTATTTTTAGAGCTTGGGTTTTGATTTGAGGGAACACAGCTCCTGCAATTCGAAGCTCAGATTAACACCAGTAAACAGAGGGTACGTCTCCACTGGCTTTTGCTTCTTGAGCTCAGAGACCGAAGGAGAACAAGGCTTGTCCGCTCCCCTCCCTTCTGTCCTATCCGGAGAGTTTATAGAGAGAAATCTAATATTAAAAGCGCATCATAAGTGGTCAGTTTATGCTGCCAGAGACTGTATCTCAGTGGCCACCACTAGGGGGACCCAGAGTCCAGGTGCTTGGCCGAGGTGGGAGTAGTTTCTGGTCTGTGGGAAAATGACGGAGCTCTATTATTGAGTTGGTTTCTCCCCGCCCTCCTCCCCCCTCCTTCCTCCTCCCTCCCCTCACACAACTATTGGCTCACGAGGGCACCCCAAAGTCAGGCTCGGGGTACAGATAGCCCAGTGCACATGTGCAGCACTTATTTATAATTTCACAATGATTGTTTTTGATGTTCCTTTTGCCTTATGCAAAGGATCACACTTCATGCAAAGTCTTTTACTCACATTTTCATTGTTTGTTGCATTTTTAAAAACTATTGCAAAAGTTTTTACCACTATAAGAGAAATTTGTTAGAGGTAATGACTTTGCCTGTTGGGTCCAGGGAGGCTGAGACATGGGAGCAATGACTTTCATTTGACGGATGACTGGGGTCAGGTTATGGGTGGATGAAGAGTCTGGGGTCTGGCTGGTGGCCGTGCATTTTCAGATTGTGTAAACCTACCTTGAGCCTCAAGTTGAAGACCTCAAAGCACAGAAGGGCAGATTGTATAACTAAAGAGGATCCCAAGACTAATGACTCAGAAGAATAGTAAAGCAAAGCTTGAATTAGTGTTCTAGTTTATACTTTTCCTACAGGCACTATTGTTAGCTTAAGGCAGAGTTTATGGCTCTATTTCATAGAAAGTTACAGATAAATACAGGCAGAACCTCCTTTGCTCCTGGGATGTGTAACACGTATGGAAAGATATGAGTGAAGACTTCAATAAAAACAGACCATTTCTCTATTTTTAGAACAGATCATCTTTGTTAAAATACACCAGTAGTTAGCTGTTCAGAGCAGATGGGTCAATAGGATTATGATGAGTGGATATCAATATTTTTTCTTTCCTGTTAGAGTTATTTACTGGGTCTGCATTATTATATCTACAGGGGATTTGGCAGGTAGAGTAGAGAGAAAAGATACCAAGTGCTCACTTGATATAAAAGAAAAAGCAAGGCTATGGGTCTTGCAAATGGCTCCCAAAGAAGGGGCAAAATTGTATTTTTATTAAAGCAATTTGTCAGGCTTCCTTTGAAAGGCTTAACTTCTTCCTCCTGGCTTGACAATAAATAACCTCAAGTATTTAATTTAAACAATGCTTTAAAACCATCTAAAAATTGTTTTAGAGAGAGATCAAATTTTAATTTAAGTAAATATTTGAAAATTTAAAATATATTAAGAGGTGTTTTAAAAAATTGTTTATTAATTTATTTTCCCAAGGGCTTTTAAAAAGCTAAATTGTTAGACTTTGTGGTGGACATACTTAAGGTTATAGGCCACATACTACTTCATGAATAAAGAGGTGGCGTCAATAGTGAGTGAGGTTCAGTTTTCCATATTTTGTCAAAAATAAGAATGTGAGGTTCAGTTTAAAATGAGCATCGATCCCACAGATACCCCCGGATGGAGCACACCTTACCTGTAGCTTCCACCATGCCTTCTAGGATGACCACGATTTCCAGTTCCTCTTTGGGCAGCTGGGCTTTGGAGATCTCCCAGAAAGGACTCTGTTGGTTAATTTCGTGGCTAATGATGAGTGGTGACACCAGAAAGAGACGGTCATCGCCGGTGTAATACCCTACGTTGATATCCGTCTGGTTCAAGGGGATGAACTCCCCCTCTGAGGTCTGTTTGGATTTGATCAACTTAGCTCTGATGGAAGCCTCCACGATGTGGGAATTCCTCAGATCCCCTACGCGAAACATCAGGCACAGTTTCCCATCCCTCATGGAGATCACTGCATGGGTGGAAAAAACCAGGGTCTCTGCCCTCTTCTTGGGTTGTGATATTTTTACAAACATGCATCCCACCATGAATGCATTGACAATGGACCCCAAAACAGATTGGATTAAGAGGAGAATAATTCCCTCTGGGCACTTGTCCGTGATGACCCGATAGCCATAACCAATGGTGGTTTCTGTCTCTATGGAGAATAAAAAAGCAGAGACGAACCCATTGAGGTTGGTGACGCAAGGAGTCCATGAAGGGTCCTCTATGTGGTCCATGTCTCCTCGGATGTATGCAATTAGCCACCAGATCATTCCAAAAAAGAGCCACGTCACTGTGTAAACCATGACAAAAATCAACAGGTTGAATCTCCACTTGAGGTCTACTAAGGTGGTGAAGATATCGGTCAGGTAGCGATAGGTCTCCCTCACGTTGCCGTGGTGGACATTGCACTTTCCATCTTTCCGCACGTACCTCTGGATTTTCCTTTTGGTCCGGTCTCGGCTGATGTGTCTTGGCAGGTCGTCCCTGGCCTGCTTAGGCAACTTTGGCTGGTGAATGGCCACAGGGCTCTCAACATCCTGGTCCATGGAGTCACCCTCCAGGACATTAGCTGGTGGTTTGGAAAAAAGAAAAGAAAAACTGAATGAAAAGCTGGCTCTTTGGAGGTCATGGAAATCCCACTGTGGATGGAATATGGTATGAAACCATCATTTGACCATTTGTGTAGCTATTAACAGTGTAGATGAAGGCTTTTTTGGGGGGTGCCATCTGAATGGGTTGCCTTGGACTCCTGGCCTCTGTGATCTAGCTTGTGTAAGGACTTCACCACCCTTCTCACAGGGACAGAGCTTAACTGCTGTGAAACTGTCTCCCTGCCAGCAAGTTCTAAGAGTCAGCTTTTATAGTGGGATGTGTCTGCATTCTCTCTGAGATGCTGTGGTATGTGAGAGGCAGTGCACTCTGGATAAAGAAATGTTTAGATTCAGACAGTATTTGGTCTACCACTCAGCAACTGTGGGCTCCTGGTCATGCTATCAGTTATGGACCAAACTGCACCTCCACTCTACCCCCAAATATGTTGAAGCCCTAACCCCCAGTGTGACTGTATTTGGAGATGGGGCTTTGAGGACATAATTAAGGTGAAATGAGGTCAGAAGGGTGGAGCCCTAATCCAAGAGGATGAGACACCAGGGGTGTGCACACAGAGGAAAGGCCACGTGAGGACACAGTGAGAATACAGCTGTCTGTAAGCCAGGAAGAAAGGTCTTCCAAACCAACCGAGGTCACCAGAAACCAATCTTGCTGGCACCTTGATCTTAAGCTTCCAGCCCCCAGAACTGTGAGAAAATAAATTGCTGTTGTTTAAGCCCCCCAGTCTGTAGTATTCTGTTACGGCAGCCTGAGTAGAACAATAGGCTATTAAAATTCACTGATTGATCCTCAGTTTTCACATTTACAAAATGGTAATCATGATAGTCAATTCATAGGATTGTTATAAAGTTAACATGTGCATTATATGTGCCTGCATGGAACAGACATGTAATAAACATTCTTTTGTAATAAATTGTTCCTTTGCCACTCTCCTTATATTTAGGGGCAAGAATTTTGAGGGAACTCTTTAAGGTGTCAGTCAAATTTCAGTTTAAAAAAAATTCTGGATTTTATTGGTAAGTATGCATGCATTTTACCCTAATGGTTGATGCAACGCCAAGGTTAAAAAACGTGTGGGGGAAATGTTCTCTCTCGTTCTATGTGTTCACACATTTCATTTGGTTTCTGCCTCAACATTTAACAACTGCAGTTTTGGCTTGCGGTTATTTTATTCCTCATGGCCTTCATGATTAATGCATCGGTACGATCATTTGATGATGAGGCATTAGGAAAACTCTCCCGGAATCCGAGTGCAAAGGGACATTTGGAACTGATGCTGCTGTGAAGTACACATAAACCACTGTATGAAATTACTTGTTTAGCCAATAATTTCAAAGCTTTCTGAAAGTTTTATAAGCAGATTCTTCCCTCAGGCTTTTATTCTGTGTCATTTGACTTTGCCGTGCATTTTCTCCCTTTGGTTAAGGGAGGAACACAGTCCGTTGAGAAAAAACGTTTATCTGAATAAGAAAACAGCTGGGGATGGGACTTGAGGGGTACCAACTTAACTTATGGATTAACCTTGCTCATGGTTGGATAGTTTCCTTAATGATCAATCCCATAGATCTGGTTTTAGACTTCAGCACAAGGAAGAGGCAGCATTTGGTCTGCAAGCTTGATGTTTGGTCCGATAGCTTTGACTTTAGATCGCTACCCTCAGTAACTCTTCATTTGTAAATAAAACCTTGCTTTTATTTCAAAGCAGATACCAGGACAGGAGTCGAAGGAAGCAGCTGAGGGTGGGACAGGATGGAGGGGGTTGGGGTATCTGGATGGAGGTCACGGAGAACGTCCCGGCTCACTGCAGGCACCCCTGGCAAGGTGGGATGTTTGTGGCCCAGGGGGCCACATGTCCGAGCTCTCGCTGCTAAGTTCGCCCTGAGAGGGAATCTCTAAGTGTGACTTCACGTGGGCTGATTTCGGCTCAGGATCGGCCAGCGTGGAGCGGCCTTGTCTGCAGAGCTGCAGTGTGGTCTGGCTCTGGCCCAGGTGAGGAGCTCGCTGCCTGTGCAGAGTCACCCTGGGTTCTTGTTTCCACGGGGTGGGAAGTGGAAGAAGGGGGTTTGTCTGAATAGCTGACTCCCAACAGTCTTCTGCCATCTTCCATGCTTTAACATTTCATGGAGGCAACCTACACATACCCCAGCCCCCGGTGTGAAGCTGTTTTCTCCATTTTCTGGCTCAGTTGTAACCTTCCTGTCTGAAGGGTTAATGGAGGAGTAGAGATAAGTGCTCTGGACAGTCTCGGGAGCCTGCCAGTTGATCCTCCAAATCCATTTTTTCCCTTTTCCTAGCTCAGGACTGGACCACATTTCCCGGCCTCCTTTGCATTGAGGAGTGGCCACGTGCCGAGTCCTGGATCATCAGGAGTGGGTGTGCCCTTCTGGACCAAGGCCTGAAATAGTGGGTGTGTGCGCTCCTATGCCCTTGCCCCTTCTACGAGAGCTGATGGAGTCATGAGGTGGAGGGGCCTGGGTCCCCAGCTGGTGGCAGAGAGCTGCCATCCAACTAGAAACAAGAAAAAAAAATTGTGTTTGAGCAGCTACGTATTTTGTGTCTGTTATCAAATTGAGCCTTCTGTCTAATTTTATGGGCAGCAGTATTGACATGGATAAGCAGACAGAAGAGTTCTCAGGGGGCTGGTGTGGGAAAGAGCAGGGAGAGAGGAAGAGAGTGAAGATGGGGTGTTTGGGTTTGGTGTTTTTGAAGAGAAACAGGGATCCAAAAATGGAGTCACTTGTGCTAAGCTCTACATCAGTCAATGGGGACTGAATACCTATCCAGGTTCAGTCCCTCCCAGGGATGTGACCTTTTACCAGTCAGTCTGGAATTTGCTGGCCACAGATGAGGTAGCCTACCACACAGACCCCTGCCTTCCCCCAAGGCAAGTGACCTTGCTTGAAATAATCCTCAATTGTTTATGACTTCCTGTCCCATCCCCTTTAGGCCTTTAAAAACCATCCATTTTGTACAGGACCCCTCCTGTCTGTTTGCTAGAAGGGATGCTGCCTGATTCATGAATTGCTGAATAAAGCCAATTTTTTCTTCAAATGTACTCAGTTGAATTTTGTTTTCTAACATTGTCTTTTGAGAAATAAAACATTGCCAGCCATATCAGTAAACAAAGGATGTCAGAGTCATCAGCAATTGCAATTGCAGCCCTCCAGTGGTGAGCCCTGAGGGAACTCAGGGAGGAAACAAAGAATACCTGCCATCAAGCAGCCATCAGACTGTGGCCACTCCCCATGGTGAGCCTTGAGGAAACGGTGGGTGTGAAAGCACAGGATATCGGCCCGATAGCTGAGGTTCATATCAAAAGAATGGTTTCAGTGAGCCTAGACTCTTGCATTTTCCTATGCATAGGAAAGCACTAAATTCCTTAATTTGAGATACCTAATTTTCTTTTATTAACAGTAATCTTTTGTTCCTACTACCCGCCCTTTGCTGTAAAACTCCTGTATATCCTAGCTCCCCCCTCGCCTCCTCAGAGCAGTTGTCTGAGGGTTACTTGAGATGCTGCTTCCCAGGCTTGAAGTCCTCAAGGTATCTGCTGAATAAAACATAACTCTCAACTCTTAGGTGTGCATATACTTTCTTTTTAGCCGACACTAATGAACTAGCATGTGGTTAATTGAATGTCTGTGTTTTGTGTCAGGGAAAAAATATCAATGCATATGCTACTTAAGTGCCTTTTAAAAACAAACAAAAATGGAAGCAAACAAAGAAAGCTGAACATCCCAGGGAGTATGGTGGAAAGGTGGCTTTGGAGTAGGGAAGAACAATGACTCTATCTGGGATCTGTTTCTTTTACTTTAACCTTTGTATTCTGTTGCTTTTGCTACAAGTTAAGAATGTTGCCTATAGCCTGAAATATACAGGATAGCCCATTCTCAAGGCTCTGACCTTTAAAAGTGTAACACTTTTCCATTCATGAGATAAAAAGTTGCAGAACAGAGGATAACTGTCTTGTTGGAGGTTTATAGGAACATCATGACTGGACCTACCTGAATAGCTGCAATAACAAAGGATTCCGACACCAAGAAGTCTGCAACAACCAACTACACCCCCTCCCTTTTTAGTACAAAAGAAGCCTGAATTCTAACTTGGGTAGGATTGTTCTTTGGGACACTAGTCCGCCATCTTCTCCGTCTGCTGGCTTTCTGAATAAAGTCGTTATTCCTTGCCCCAACAGCTCAGCTCTTGATTTATTGGCCTGTCCTGCGGCAAGCAGTACGAGCTTGGACTTGGTAACAGCCTCAGAGGCACCACTGCAGGTGAGGCAGTGGGTGCACGTGAGATGCATCCAAGGGAAGATGGGGAGGTAAGCTGGGCCTCCCACTTGACAGTGGCTGGTGGGGAACAGGCAGAGTTGAGAAACCAAAAAAGCCAATGAAATATGAGAGTAGAGGAGACTGAAGTAGGAATCTCAAGGGGCAGAAGAGGTGAGGCCAGCGAGGAGAAGAGGTGGGGTGTGGAGTGGGCAGAAGAAGGCAGCACGGCCTCCAGGCCTTTCCCAGAGCAGTGTCAGGCAGCCCTGGACTGGGGAGAGGCCATTCCAGGTCTGAGCTGTGAGCGTGCTTCAGCACCCAGGCAGGAATGCAAATGCGCGTGCGGGGGGGGGGGGGGGGGGGAGGGCGCGGGGAAATACAGAAGGGAATGTTGATTCTCTAGCTCTTGACGTTTCTTTCTTGGAATCTCAGGTGTGAATTTGACCGGGTGATGTGAATTGCATTTGCAAGAGCATTTGAGCTGCTCGGTGTGGGGAGCTGCAGCTGCGGTTGGGAAAGCAAACCTACCTGCGTTCCTGCACAGCCCGGGACACAAACGACTTCCCCCCCCCCCCCCCCCCGACTCCCACCGCCTCTCAGGAGCTTGCCCTGGGCCCCCAGCCATGCGCATGCGCATCAGAGTCCTGGTGAGACCCGCCACCCTGGTCCTTCAGCATCGTGCATGTGGCTT